ATATATATATATATATATATATATATATATATATATATATATATATATATATATATATATATATATATATATATATATATATATATATATATATATATATATATATATATATATATATATATATATATATATATATATATATATATATATATATATATATATATATATATATATATATATATATATATATATATATATATATATATATATATATATATATATATATATATATATATATATATATATATATATATATATATATATATATATATATATATATATATATATATATATATATATATATATATATATATATATATATATATATATATATATATATATATATATATATATATATATATATATATATATATATATATATATATATATATATATATATATATATATATATATATATATATATATATATATATATATATATATATATATATATATATATATATATATATATATATATATATATATAATTTTTTTTGATTCTCTCGATTTATATTTTTTTTTAACAATTTTTGTTTTATATTTTTCCCTAACATATAAATTTGGACTACTTTCTTGGGACTTAGGCCCACACAGAATCTGTGCGCACAGAAATCCGCAGATTTATGGCCCTTCATTTAGTCTATATATTTACTTGCATATTTATTTAATTTATAACTATTCAGATTCCAAATTAATTTCATTAATATTATTGTGATAAAATAATAATACAAATAATAATAATAATAATAATAATGATATCAAAATGTTCATATTATTTGTTTATAATATAGTTTGTAAAGTAATAATTTATGTCTTGATGTCGAAAATCTTGCTTTGCTTACCAAGTGGGTCAAATTAGATGTGCATTGTAAGCATTAAATAAAAGTTAAAAAGGTATTATTTTTTTATTTCATATATTAACTTTTTAGCTAAGATACTCCTCAAAATTATTCCACAAAAATTCATTATACACTGTAAAAAACAACAGTTGACTTTATCAAATGAAATGAATTTAGTTAACTCAAAATTTACTGAAAGCTAATTCTACTCATTTGAAAAGACTCTACTCATTTTGAACTCAGCATTGAAGGTAATGAGTTAATTAAATACCTCATTACTTCAACTTAAATGGAGTAAGTTTACAGTACTCATATATATTAGTTTTTAACAACTGGTTTGTGGCAATCGGTTTACTCAAATGGTTTGTGTTGCCTTAACTTATTGGATTTTACGGTACTTAGTTGGTTTGAGTTTTCTTCATCTATCAGGTTTTACTGTGCTCAAATTGCTTCTTTTACTCAAATGGATTAAGTTTACAGTACTCATTAGGATTAGTTTTTGTACTTAAATGGATTTCTGCGGTTTCCTCAATATATATAAAATATATATATATATATATATATATATATATATATATATATATATAATAAAATATAATAAAAATATTGTATAGTATCCTATAGAAAATAATCATTTAAAAGAAGGATTTGTGAGCAGTGTACTCATATATAGTAAGCACGATATAGGCTGTTTAAATCAATAAAAAAATCCTAAAAAAAAATAAATAAATACACATACAAAAATATACAGTTGAAGTCAGAATTATTAGCCCCCTTTTGATTTTATTTTCTTTTTTGAATAATTCCCAAATGATTTTTAACAGAGCAATGAAATTTTCACAGTATGTCTGAAAATATTTTTTCTGTAGAAAGTCTTATTTGTTTTATTTTGGCTAGAATAAAAGCAGTTATTAATTTTTAAAAAATAATTTTTGGGACAAAATTTTAAGCCCCTTTAAGCTACTTTTTTTTCGATAATCTACAGAACAATCCATCGTTATACAATAACTTGACTAATTACCCTTACCTGCCTAGTTCACCTTATTAACCTAGTTAACCCTTTTAATGTCACTTTAAGCTGTATAGAAGTGTCTTGAAAAATATCTAGTAAAATATTATTTACGGTCATCATGGAAAAGATAAAATAAATCAGTTATTAGAATTAAGTTTTTAAAACTATTATGCTTAGAAATGTGCTGAAACAGTCTTCCCAGAACAGAACAGAAATTGGGGAAAAAAATAAACAGGGGCGCTAATAATTCAGGGGGGCTAATAATTCTGACTTCAACTGTAAAATTGAAAATTTAAACAATAACAAAATAAATAATGCTAAGAATAATGTGCTTTGTAATGCTATAAGACCAGCTACTAGATCTAAATATAACTTAAAGCTAACATATAGCTTACATCCAATGTAGTTTGGTGACGAGGATCATTTTCATAGGCTTGATTTACACTTAAACCTCATTCTGCAAGCTTCAACATAAACCTAGGTGATAAAAAAATCTAACATCACTACTTAAAACTTTAAGGCTAACGCCAAAGCTCCATAATCCAAAGAAATTAAACAAAACCAAAAAAAGCAATGAATAAATCCGCAAGAGAACTCCAGAATCAGACTTCAAAGCACACTGCCGTCTGTTATTGTCCCCTTCAGCACCTTATGCACCATGTAACCTGACAAAGGCCTTTTTTTTTTCTTCCTCGACAACACAGACTAATAAAGTGCCTCAATTCTTCTCTGCTGAGCCGAATGAAATTTGCAGCCTCTCGGGGAGGCCGATTGTACTGTAGGTTGCTTTGGGGCGAGAAGCTACACAGAGCAATAAGGGCCTGAGCCGTTCGCATAGGCACTTGATTACGCCGGGGACTCGGGGGCAAATACAGTGAAAACAAACCCCAGATGAAATAATAAACATGCGTTCTGTCTGCGAGCCAACAGCGTGACCTGCCGAACGCAGGCCGCTGGACGTAACATGGAGTATTTAATTGAGCTGACCGCTGCGTTTTCAGTCGTATTGTTTTCTTTTTTGTGTGGATCATTAACATCTGGTTTTTAATACGAGAGGTCACGATCTGTACCGTATTGAACTCCAAATTGCAGGTTCAAAAGGTGATTCTTTTTCCACTCCCCATAGAGCCGGCGACCCCATTTATCAAAAGCAAGAGATGTCAAAAAGACAGAATTTACGATATACATTATGTGTGCTGATCACAGCGTTATTGTGCTTTATATGATCTCAGCAGTATGTCAGGGGCCTGATGTTGTTGTTTCTGGTGTTATTAGTGGGGATTTTGGATTGTGTTGTTAGTTCTGCTCTAGGGGTTTTTTCCATGCTGTTGGCGATGTACTGACCCGTACCTCCATCTCCTTGAGCACCGGGTGGTCCTCGATGCCCGGGAACAGCACCCTCATGGCGTAGGTTCGGTAGTCCAGGAACGGGATACCGGCTCCATCTAGCTCCTGGGTCAGTTCGTGGATGTCAGTCTGGAGTTCGGCAAAAGCTGTGAGAAGAATTCATTTGTGAATGGAGTGACATGCTTTTTACCTGTAGTTTGAACAGTAAAACTGGTATGAACAATTAGATAGTGGGTTTAATTAACAGAAAACAACTTGAACACACTGTAATGGGATAGTTCACTTATTTACTTAGTTCACTCATTATTTATGCTCCCTCATATGGTTTTAAACCTTTGTGAGTGTCTTCTGTTGAATACAAAAGAAGATATTTTGAAGAATGCTGGTTTGCTAACACTCATCAACATCTACAGTAGGACAAAAAAATTACTTTGGAAGTCAATGGGTGCGCCAAATACCAGCATTTTTAAAAAAATATCTTCTTTTCTGTTTAACAGAAGAAACTTAAACAGTCCCACCTCCTACTCAATAGACTCAATACATCAACATACTGAAATAAAAGTCTAAGCAACTATAACTTAAATCACACATTCTTATCATGTATTATGCATGTGCATGATGTCACTGTTATAACAGATCCTTGTTTAAGGCATTTACCAAACCTGTCAACACTCCTGCCACCTTCCTTTTTGTTATGTCCTCCACGCGTCCTCACCTTTTTGTTACATTCTCCAACACCCCAACCCAGTCATCGACTTTAGTATAGTATTTCAGCCGATTGCCGGTTTACGGTACAGTTACTAATATGCATATGTACGTACATGTATGCAGTCTTCTGTATTTTATACCAGTCTCCTGCTTCCCTCCTGTTTTGTTATGTCTCCTCCAAGTCCTCACCCTTTTGGTACAGTCTCCAAAAATCTCACCCAGTCGTCAACTTTAGTATAGCATCTCTGATCGCAGTCAACGCTCAAAAACCAGTTCATGGTACAGTTACAGATACCTGTATGCACCCCCGTATGTACACAGTCTCCTATATTTCACACCTATCTCCCACCACCCTCCCGTTTTGTTATGTCTCGTCTCTGATCATCAACTTATTGGTACAGTCTCCAACACCCCCACCCATTCGTCAAATTTAGTATAGTATCTCCGATTGCCGTCGTGGTCAATCGGCGAACACGGTCCATGGTAAAGTTTCTAATACCTGTACGTATTCTACTCGACATCCCCCACCACCCCCAGTTCTCAACTTTGATACTCAAGCCCACCCCCAATCACCTGGTTTTTTGGAATTTCAGATACAAAAGTTGACAGGTATGGCATTTCAATGCAATCTCATAGTAATTCATAACGTTTTGACTGATTCGTATGAATTCATACGATCTAATTCATACAATTTAGTATGATTTGCTCATCAGCCAATGACATTTGGGTTTAGGGGTGGGGTTGGGTGCCATGCCTCCTTTATCAAATCGTTTATTTTAGTACAACTGAACTCGTCCGAATTCGTACAAACTATCCACTAACATGACAAAACGTAACTTACTTATGTTTTCTCGTGAGATCAGGCTGGGCATTTACACAGACGTGACAACAGTTATGTGAATCAACAGGCAATATGCATAAAAAGTTTCCGGTTTTAGGCTGAAAATGTTGTGTAAATGGTCCCTTACATTACTTGTATGCATTTGAGAGTAGTCAACATCATCATCAACAGCCAAAGTTCAGTTCAAAAACTCAATAATGCAAGAACAGAGGACTCGTGACTGAACCCTGATGCATTCCTGATATCAAGGATGCATCAAACGCATTCTGGAGTGCAGTACGCACTCTAGAAGTCCCAGAAGTCATTGCAGCTAAATAAGGGAGGTGGGAAGTGCAGTATTTTATTTAGATTTATTACTAAAGTTTAGAGATATAACTTATTTATCCGAGGAGTTTCCCTAAATGAGATGGTGAAAGTAAACATTAACATGAAAAGGTATTTAGAGTGTTTATTTGCTGAAATTCATATTAAAATCGGTTTTATTTGTATTATGCAAAGCATATTTGTAAGACTTTTGTGCTTGTTATAAAAATTTGAAACGAATAAAAACAATATATTATTGTATGAAAGCTGTAATATTTAAATTATTCACTATAAAAACACATAAGGGTCATGTGATCAGGAAGAATGCAGCATCTCATTTCTCACATGACATGTTCTTGTATTCTCATTGTGTTCTCTTGTGTTCCTGTGTTCACTTGACAAGAAAGTTATCCACGAGAACGCAAGTCCGTTCTTTGCATTCTTGGAATTGAGAAACAGCCTGTGTTTCACTACTAAAAGACTAATAGGCTCGCTAAGTGTTAAGAAATTAGAGGTTTCAAATCAAATCCATGTGACGAATTTAATCGAACAAAATATCATCCCGTCAGTACACTCAGTGCTCAAATTTACTCGTTTTAATTCACTCTTTCAAGTGGACTATATTAGTGGACTAACGTAGGGACTAGTGAATGAGGGTAAAGGGAGTGATTTTGGATGTTTGACCACAGAGCATAAGGACATCATGGGTGTGGATCAGCCAGAGACCTGTGATTTACCCTGAGCACAGGCTTACTGAGTCATCAGAGAGAGCAGCAGTACAAACAAACAAAGGCACAGCTAATGGCTAATTAGCGAGCAATCCAGCGCCGGTTTAGATAGTGGTGGCGCTCAGTGGGGATATCAGCTTCGCCTCTCTGCTTTACATTAGCCCAGAAATGTTGCGGACATCACCGTAATTGGAATTGCTTCACTCTGAGAGCTTTCACAACCAAAAGCAAATCATTTCTGAATGGAGCTAGCCATCGGCAGCGTATAAAACTTCTCCAGCTTGTTTTGACAAACAGCTTCAGCACTGAAGGAGATGTTTTGCTAGCTGACCTTGCCTCGCCGCTGCCGTTTTTTTCCTGAGAGGCGTAATGTTTTGACCACTACAGCAGGAAGCCTTTAGAAACTGGCATTGGGGTTGTCTGTAATGCCCCTTCGCGCTTCACAATCCGACACGCGCCTCTTCAAATAATGAAGCTAAATTGAATTACAAGGCCATCCCTCATGTTGGAAATCTTTGTTAGGCTTTTCAAGTGCACTTTGACGAGGAAGAACCATTGAATTAAAAGCTCTTTAGGCCTGTCACATTCTCTTTTTTTCCTCCTCATTGGGAGACTGAAAATCCCGTCGGACAGTTCATCTTGAATAATATTTGTGTAGTATTTTTAAGACGAAACGGCGTCTTCTTGGAGTAGGAGCTTCTTGCTATCCGTCTCCCAGCGGACGACGCGGAGGAACAACAGCTGGAGGAAATTATGCATGAAAAGCTCCGCTCCTTTATTAATTACCCACTCATGCAATTAATTGACTTTCTTTTCCCGTGAACTTTGTGTGTCTCTTACGTCTCTTCCCTCCCGCTCTTTTCCAATAGCACAACCAAATTAGTCGTAAACCGAATAAACAAACAGATTGACAGACTTTGCATTGCTTCTGTTTACCCAACACGCGCCTGTTATTGCAAGAAGCTCCCACTGACCACATTTTCATGCGTTTCCCAATGAAGCATTTTATTTAAAGCTCATTTTAATTTGCAGTTAGGGAAGGCTTAAAGCAAATCAGATCTCGATTATGAGACATTTTATTATGCACAAAAGTATATAATCTAAACCTGAAATCTAAATATAGGTAATTTGTCCCCCCAAAACCTTTCTTCGCACTGTGAAATCTAGACTTGTGTTGGACAAAAAACTAATTAAAAAGAAACTGTAAAAGATAATGTTTAAAATATTTTCACGTGTTTTGCTTTTGCTAATAGTAGCTTTCTTAAAATGTTATCAGGATTTATTTTGACTGAAAATTTAATTATTATATATTATTATGATACTACATTAGTCTTATGTATTAATTATTACTGTATGTGTTTACTTGCAGGTATAATATTTTATCCCCCAAATCTCTCCGCACTGTAAAAAAACTTAGTTGTAAAATAACTTATTTACACATAAATGCACTCATAGAGTAAAAACTTATTTGCTTTTATTAATTATTTTTTTATTAAAATATTACTTTTAATTTGAATTACTTCATTATGATATTACAGCTTTAACATATTGCTGTGACTGATTTGATATGATTGTTTTATATGTTTATATGTAAATCCAAATGAATAACTAATGAGAATTAATAACTTAAAAAAGAAAATATAAAAAATACACTCGGCACAATAAGGCGCAAGACGTGTTTGCCGCAATGTTTTGCAATTTTCAGACCAGCGCAACCATCATTTTTCCATTTTGCGCCACGTTGTTTAAATAGTAAATCCATTTGCGCCACTTTATGGACTCATGGGTGTTACAGTAAAGAAAAGAGGTGTGTTTAGACCAGGGAGGTCCAAAGTCGGTCCTGGAGGGCCAGTGTCCTGCTGAGTTTAGCTCCAACTTGCTTCAACACACCTGCCAGGAAGTTTCTAGTATACCTAGTAAGAGTTTGATTGCCTGGTTCAGGTGTGTTTGATTAGGGGTGGAGCTTAACTCTCTAGGACATCGGCCCTCCAGGATCGAGTTTGGACACCCCTGGTTAGACGCATTGTTGGCGTGTTGTTATTTTGAGGAACTGAAAAAGACTGCACAATAAACCAGCTGAAAGCTGAAATGAAAAACAATTAAAAGATTAAAATATTACAAAATGATTACTTTCTACATAAATATAAAAAACACTACCTCCATGCCTTCATTATCTCGGGGGGCTTTTTTCAGTTTATTCACGACAACTTGCTTTTGTATAATGTTATTATTAGTAGTAGTAGTATTTATTATATGCATATTTATATTTGTTTTATTAAAAACAAGCTTAAAGTAGATTTGTCCACCTGTCAGGTTTTGGACCATATAGGGCATAAGACCAGTGTTTGGATAACTCTGGCTTTTAACCACATTTCGTTATTATTGTTCATTTATTCATTTGTAAATTAGAACTGAATTTAAAAATAGTTTTGAAACAAATCTTTGCCCTAAACAAACAGAATTAAATATGTAGGCTAATGGATGCCTTCAGTGGAGTGCATACAACACAGTTTCCTTATCCATAAAAAAAGAGAAAGAGAAAGTAGAGGCCGAATGGAGGAGGTTCGTTCTTTATCTTTGCGCTGCAGATGGTCTTTTTAACTGTTTTCTCGCGAGTGAAGCGTTTAGTTTTTCCACTTACAAAGTCCACCATGTAAATAGCAAATGTGCCATGGCGTGATGCAAATGTCTCTTAAAGGGAATGGGAGATTAGACTTTGATTGGTTTAATGCACGTTATGCTCAAAACACACCCATAACTCATTAAGAGAATAAGCACAACCCTATTAGACCATGCGCAGCGGCGCAATGTGTATTTTTCCGTTCCTAAAATAGCAAAAGTGGATTTGGATACGGCCTTAAAGCTCTTGCGCCATGTTCTTTAGACTTTGCATCTAGATTGTTAAAATAGAGCCCATTTAGTCTTTGCTAATAGTAGCTTTCTTGGTTTTTAATTTGACAAAAAATGTATTATTATATATTATGCATCCATCCATGTTATATTTATTTGCACTTAATAGTAGTAGTAATATGTTAAGTGCAAATAAATGCGAGAGATCTGCAGAGTGGATGGCAACATCTACAGCCTGAGGTATTTGTGCTGTCCATTACGTTACAAACCACAGGAGAGGCCAAAAATTATCAAGGTGCTTCAGGATTGGCCTGCCCAGTCACCAGACATGAACATTTTTGAGCATGTCTGGGGTAAGATGAAGGAAGGGGCATTGAAGATGAATTCAAAGAATCTTGATGAACTCTGGGAGTCCTGCAAGAATGCTTTCTTTGCCATTCCAGATGACTTTATAAATAAATCATTGCAGAGATGTATGGATGCAGTCCTCCAAGCTCACGGGAGTCTTACACAATAATAAAAGGCAGACCTTACTCTCCTAATTAAAAATCCTGATTAAAAATCAAGGCATGATCATATTTTATTTTGGTAAAATAAGCATAATCTGGAGGCTTTCATATAAGCCACTTCTCATTAAAAACTATCAACTAAAAGTCAAGTTATTAATTGTTCCTAAATCTTCGATAGGTGACAAGACTTTTGTCAGGTTGTATATATATATATATATATATATATATATATATTTGTTGTATTGTATTTTATAGCATTATTTTAAGAAATGCCAATGTTCCCTCATAACGATTATTGAGGGAGAAAAATGTTTATAACGATTGTATGTAATTTTGTGAAATATGTCAGTTTTGGACAGCTGAGCTTCACTCTTCTCCAGCCCATTACCTGACCCTGTTGACCTCATTGGGTTGGACAGAAGCAGCGGTTCCAGAACTTCAGGTCATTACCAAGCAAATCCATCCCCAGCCCGAGCTCGAAATAACCAAGCTAAGGTCA